GCAAAATATCACAAAGTCCAAGCCGAACGATCCAGTGGGAAGACCTTTGAATATTGGATAGCTGACTGAGCCTTGTCAACGTCAAGGACAACCAAGTCGAATTAATCGATAGCACGTCATGGACAGAAGGATGAGTCAGCAATGATAATTCGTTTCGCTGAAGGTTTCGCTTTTGAAAATCCCTCCACGTATACACCTGTAACTTGTTCCTCTCGATTCATCTACATGTACATTCTGTTAATCCTTTCGAGTCCGTTGGAGATGGTACTAATTGTGTTTTATTGTGATTTTTGTTTTTCTTACGTCTTTACTGAGTTTACATGTTTCTCATGAACTACATTTATGTTGTTTTAGTTGTTACTTAGTCTTGGCGGCAGCCTTATTGATTTGTTCCCCTTTTTGATTGTGCTTCTTGCATTTACTGTAATTGTGCATATTTGATTGTATACTGAAGCACTCTTTCAGAATTGAAAACACTCTGTGTTATAACGCAGCTAAATATCATCTTTCGAGCGAATCTGTTCGTGATCTATACAGAAAGGATAGAATGGCGTTTATTTGTTTCACTTGATTTGACTGGGGAGGGGGTTCAAACTCGAAATTTTGTAAGATAAGGGAAAAATGGTATGGGGAGATAGTAGGTATCACATCACTAGGTAATAAGTCTATCTACTAAGACAGGTTTAGTGAAAGCTCAAATTATCTTTGAATGCAGGCAAGATGCTTCAAATTTCTTATGGCTTAAGCCTTCACTGTAAATAATTCTTATACAGCACCACAAAATCCAACTTAGTGTCAATCATTATGATCAAACTGTTTCTACTGTGTTCAGGAATAGAGAAAGTTGTGTGTGTGTCATCTGCTCCTATTGAGTGACTGGATTCTTATTTATTTTTGAAGCCCTTTCGGGTGCCTCAATTTGCAAATCATGATTCTTCCTCCCTATTTATATGTGTCCACATACATGTGAATTAGTGAAGACTATGGGATGTAAATCAATTTTCAACATGTTGTTTAGGTTTTGGGTAAGTCATAGATCCTTTCTCAATAATGGTGGGTTTCGGCTCATAGTATATCCTATGGACAACAGATTAGGCGTTAGTTTCAACACTAGTCTGACTAACTCAACTTTGATAGAGTGATATGAACAGGAGTTTTGAATGCCAAAAGCACAGTAAGTATCAACGTGCTATAACCTAACCATCGGTTTATGAGTTTTGGCAGATATCTATTCCCTATCAATATTTCGTTTAGTACTTACTTACTTACTTACGCCTGTTACTCCCAATGGAGCATAGGCCACCGACCAGCATTCTCCAACCCACTCTGTACTGGGCCTTCTTTTCTAGTTCCATCCAATCCTTGTTCATTTTTTTCATGTCTGTCTCCATTTCCCGGCGTAATGTGTTCTTTGGTCTTCCTCTTTTCCTTTGACCTTGAAGATTCCATGTGAGGGCTTGTCTTGTGACGCAGTTGGGTGCTCACCTCAATGTGTGTCCTATCCACCTCCAGCGCTTCTTCCTGATTTCTTCCTCCGCTGGGATCTGGTTTGTTTTCTCCCACAGTACGTTGTTGCTAATAGTGTTCGGCCAATGGATCTGAAGTATTTTGCGTAGACAACTGTTAATAAACACCTGTATCTTCTAGATGATGGCTTTCGTAGTTCTCCAGGTTTCCGTCCCATACAGTAGAACTGCATTGACATTTGTATTGAAAATCCTGACCTTGGTGTTGGTTGACAGTTGCTTTGAGCTCCAGATGTTCTTCAGTTGTAAATATGCTGCTCTTGCTTTGCCGATCCGCACCTTCTCATCTGTATCAGATCCACCATGTTCATCGATGATGCTGCCCAAATATGTAAAGGTTTTCACATCTTCCAAATCGTCCCCGTCAATTTTGATTGGATTGGTGCATGCTGTGTTGTATCGGAGAATCTTGCTTTTCCCTTTGTGTATATTGAAACCTACTGCTGCTACACTGGTCGTCTTCTCCTGCATTTGTTGTTGCGTTTGGGATAGAAGGGCCAGATCATCTGCGAAGTCTAGATCGTCCAACTGCATTCTAGATGTCCATTGTATCCCGCGTTTTCCTTCAGATGTTGACGTCTTCATGATCCAGTCGATCACCAGGAGAAAGAGAAAGGGTGAGAGTAAGCAACCTTGCCTAACACCGGTCTTTACATCGAACGACTTTATCAACTGTCCTCCATGCACGATTTTGCAGTTTAATCCATCATAGGAATTCTGTATTATATTGACTATCTTCTGAGACACATCGTAGTGTCGAAGAAGTTTCCATAGTGTTGTTCTGTCCACGCTGTCAAATGCTTCTTCGTAGTCAATGAAGTTGATGTAGAGTGATGAACTCCATTCAATTGGTTGTTCCACAATGATCCGTAGAGTTGCGATTTGGTCTGTACACGATCTATCCTTACGGAATCCTGCCTGTTGGTCACGAAGTAGGGCGTCTACACAGTCCTTCATCCTGTTTAACAATATCCTGTTGAAGACTTTTCCCGGTATTGAGAGAAGAGTGATGCCCCTGTAGTTATCACAGTTGCTGAGATCGCCTTTCTTCGGTATTTTGATCAGAAGTCCTTCTTTCCAGTCTGTTGGTACTTGTTTCTCATCCCAAATCTTATTGAAGAGAATGTGGAGTATCCTTGCAGTTGCCGCTACGTCTGCTTTCAGTGCCTCTGCTGGAATGTTGTCTGGTCCTGCTGCTTTGCCACTCTTGATTCGCCTGATGGCCATGCTTATCTCTTCAATTGTTGGTGGGCCAACATCGATTGGGAGGTCCGTGGGTGCTGCTTCGATGTTGGGTGGGTTCAGTGGAGCTGGTCGATTCAAGAGTTCTTTGAAGTGTTCTACCCACCTGTTTCGTTGCTCTTCAATGCTGGTGATTACCACACCTTCCTTGTTTTCCACTGGTCGTTCTGGTTTGCGGCGATTTCCAGAGAGTTTCTTTGTTATGTCACACAGTTCTCTCATGTTTCCTTCTCTTGCAGCCTTTTCCGCCGTCGTTGCTAAATCTTCCACATATTTACGTTTGTCGGTTCTGATGCTCCTCTTCACTTGTTTGTTTACTTCTGTGTATTCAGCTTGTGCCTTGGCTTTTTCTGCTCTTGTTCGACTGGTATTGATTGCTGCTTTCTTGGTCCTCCTTTCTTGAACTTATCCAGTGCATCAACAGTGATCCATTCCTTGTGATGGTGCTTCTTGTGGCTCAGAACCTCATGGAATGTTCAAGTGATTGCTTCTTTGATCCCCTTCCAGTTGCTCTCCATGGTAGTTCCTTCTCCATTGAGTAGATCATGAAAGGCCTGGAACTTGTTGCTGAGGACTATCTTGAATTTGTTGAGTTTGTTAGTATCCTGAAGAAAGGTCGTATTGAACTTTTGTGATATTGTCCGCCCCGTTGTGCAGTGCTTCTTGAGTTTCAATTTCTTCTTGGCGACCAGCAAGTGATGATTTGATGCTATATCAGCTCCTCTCTTGGTTCTCACGTCCTCTATAGTCCTCCTGAACGTTTTGTTGATGCAAATATGGTCGATTTGGTTTTGTGTAGAGTGATCCGGTGAAGTCCATGTGGTTTTGTGTATGCGTTAATGTGGGAATATGGTGCCGCCAATGACCAGCTTATTGAAGGCACATAGATTTGCAAATCTCTCACCATTTTTTTTCTCCCAGTCTGTGTCATCCCATGATGTCTTCATATCGGGTGTTGTCCGTTCCAACCTTGGCGTTGAAATCTCCCACCAGAATGGTCAGGTCCTTTGTTGGGCACTTCTCGATGATTGACTGCAGCCTATTGTAGAATTGATCTTTAGCGTCTTCATTGTAGTCGTTGGTAGGCGCATAGCATTTGATGATGTTCATTGAAATACCCTCTTTCTTTGTTTTGAACGAGGCTTTGATGATTCTTGGTCCATGAGATTCCCATCCTATAAGCGCATTTTGTGCTTGTTTGGACAGCATCAATGCAACTCCTTGTGTATGTGGGGCATTTTCTTCTTCATGGTCGGAGTATAACAGGAGCTCTCCTGTAGTTAGTCGTTGTTGTCCAACTTGTGTCCAATGTGTTTCACTGATCCCAAGTACCTCTAGGTTGTATCTTCTCATTTCTGCAGCAATTTGGAAGGCTCTCCCGGTGTCCCACATGGTACGGACATTCCATGTACCTAAATAAATGGTCGCTCTGGTTGTCAGAAGTAGTAGCATCACTTTTTCTTCTATACTGTCATTTGTACAGATTCAATCAATAGTATTAAATAGCCCCTTACTGGTACACTAAACCATCATGTTGTGAATATCTAAATAGGATAAATAGGATAAAGTCCATTGCTTCCAGGTTTTCAATGATGGTCTAACATCAATCGGTTCATGATCTCAATCAAAAACTTAACAATCTCCACAACCCCTAAAAGCTGATAATTATTGTCTTTGTTTTTTTACTCACATATCTTTATATTATGATCATTACTATTTTTATTATTCCTAGTATTGCCACTACCATTATTATTGTTTCAACATTACTATTAGTTTTCTGAACAGAAGTTATTTAATTGGCACTCGAGCCACACTATGATTTTCTTTATTAAATTCATATAACTTCATACATTACATAGTCTTACACTAAACATTTTATACGATTTGAACTACATTGTTATTCCTCTCACTATATGTTACCTATATTTGTTTTCATTTTAACGTATGAACTTATTCAAGCTAACATTAGCTTAAAGGCCATTCCAACATTAACGCTTTTATTTTAATCCATAAACATCTGATTAAACAAAATGCCCTTACAATTTAATTAACAGAAATTCAGAGGAATGAAGAGAAATAAATAATCACGTAAAATAACTTATTAACAACATAAACCAAGATTAAAAGAAAAGTTAACTTTAACATTGTAAGTATATTAGAACTTTATGTTTATTTGTCAAATAGGAATTCATTATCATTGGTTGACTTTGTTTCTCTTATCGTATTGAACGTTCAGTTTCCCAATCTGTGGTAGGTTCCCACGGCACGTCGACAATGTGGACATATATGGTTCACATCTTTACAACTGTCCATGCAACATGGTATAAGGCAACAACCTAAAACTCCACTACACAAAATGTAGAATAAATAAAAATGATTTGTATTAAACTGTTAGTAGATATTCAAACAAAGTAATGCTATTACTGTAGAATATATATCATATACAATGGCATTCCATATATGTCAATCCTGATTTGTTTATGCAAAATGTTTCTTGAATAAGTTGTCCTAATACCAACCACTGTGTTTAATTTAAATTTGCAGGAAACAGAACAACCGATGCACATTTTGAAAGAGCTGTATGACTACGTAGTTCATGTATGTAAACGATTTAATAGAACAGCCTATGTGGTACAAGTAACCACATTAGGTATTTGTTTATTTTAAAGCCATCAAAATGAAGGATTAACAAAAGTGAGAAAAATAAAACGTCAATAGGAAAATTGATTTCTTACATAAAGTAAGAGGTTGACCAAAGAAATGTATCTAATCATAGTCGTGTTGCATAGTTTCAACTAAACTCTTACATCGACTTCATCCTACAAAAAAATTATCTGACGATAATTCGTTTGTTATCTGACCATTTTACTCGAATAAATATATGGTCAGATCAAAGGGAATATTAAGGATCTTCAATCCAATGATGAATATATATACAAAATTTATCCAATAGACTCAATCATCAAACTATCAGGGAACCTGTAATCAGGTTACAATCAACTTTCAAGGTTTCAATAATCGAGTAATCGAAGATACTGTAGCGTGGCGTCGAGTTGAGATTAATTGTGAACACCGCTACCAAGAAATACGTGCCAAGCGAATCAGAAGGCGTAAGAAGCTCGTTAAAATGACTCCATAAAATCCCCGAGAAGCCGAATACCAGAAGGCAATTAATGGACCAAGTCGAGGTTTATTTGCTGGCGATCTCGTGGCATCGAAAGGATACCGAGATCGTGCCAGGATACAAGCTTGGTTACAGAAGGTAACCGAATTCGCGCGAAGTTACAATCAAAGTGTGTGTAAAAGAATGGAAGCACAAAATAGCTGTCATTAGCACAGTCAAACAAAAGCACATTAAAACAAACACTGGTACAGTTGGTTATAATAATAATTGTTTTAATTAAACCAGTCGTGTTCTCGTGATAAACGTGAGTCACTACAATACTATCACTACTCAGCTGACTGTGAATCTGTTTTCAAGTCACTTACATTCAATATATTTTATTCATTTTGTTTCTCACAAGGATTAGCTGAAATGTTTCATACAATTTTATCTCAGTTTATTTACTTTCTTAATGATGAGTATCATAGCATTGAACCATCCTATGAAAACTAAACCATTAAAATTTTCAAATAAACGAAATAAATACACTGTGACTAACACACAAAACTATTGGTTCAGCCAAGAGTCCTCTTTACTAAAAAATACATTTCATTCTCAAAACCATACATTTTCAAAAGACAAATTGCTTTCACATAAAGACCGACATATCGTAAACCCTAGTTATATTAGAAGCAGAGACTTGACTGATTCATCATGGAGACAGGATCAAATAGGAGCAATCTGATTGGATAATTTTCGATAACCCAGTGCTAGTAAATTAGACCATGAAGAAACTATACTTGTTATGATATCGAAATCAACAGCGATTACCGTTAGATTAGCCAATAAGAATCCTGGTTATAATTACTCTACTCAACGTATACTACTCCATCTATATCATTTGAAATCTAAGTAATTCTAACATTTTATCCAAGAGTCTTGTCTGAATTTCTTCAGTGAAATAATCAAAACCATCAAAGAATGAAATCACAAAACGCTTATCCAATCCTATTCAGATATTGATTTTAGCAAATAAGTAAGCGTGATTCAGTAAGATGTGAATAATGCGAACAGTTTACAGTGTGAAAAACAATGAATGTGAGTGTATGTGTACCTTTATGTTATTCATAATTAATATTTGGTAAATAGATGCAGTTTCTGCCTACTACATAAAACACGTTAATTATTTTGTTCATTAAAAGTTAAAATAATGGTACGAAAGTACGAAAGTAATTTGAATATTTTAACATCACAACTATACTATTGATTTTTCTCATTTACATACACATTGATGTTTTAAGAATACTTTTTTAATTTGTACTGTAATTATTATTACTCCGAGACTAACTCCAAACACAAAACACAATACGTTCAAATGTGCTCATGTCAATGTGTTTGTGTATGATAGATCATTATTATTCAACTTTTATGTTAATTATGGACATCCTATTACTCTTTTATGTTTGTCTAGTGAGATTACCATAATAGCAATCCACTTAGAAAACGACAGTCATTACCAGCTAACATCAAGTCAATGAATATTAACATGAAAACATAACTGAATCTAAACTAGGAAATAACCTCAACATTGAAATCCACATGTTTCTCATGTATAATCTTTTATAATTGCAGTAAATTTATCATCAATGTCTACTAAATAACACCATAATAGAAGTGAGTTAATTTGTCATCGTGCCAAACATAAGTTTAAGTCAGAAATCCTGTTTGTTTTATTAACCTACCTTTCTGCAAACTAATCGCGAAACAAATAAATGACAGCTCTGATCAAACATGAATATTTTATCTAACTTAATGAATAATGTGTGCTTTGGTGCAAAATATTATCTACACAAGATTGACATTTGCTCAGTAATTCTACAGAGTAAAAATTGTGCTTAATTAATCAAGTTGAAACAATTTACTTTAATCCTTTAAACGTGGACATAAAATCCTCTACTTAAACTTTGTCAATAATCATAGATCGATTACAGTCAGATAAAATATTAACTTACCCAATTAGGCATATACCACCACAAGCTAAGTAAGTTAATAAACCATTTTTGTACTCCAAAGTAGTTAAAGTATTTAGTCCACATGACGGACAACGTAAAGTTACTGGTATATCACTGAATGTTACTTTTGACGTTGGTTGATCTGTGACGACCATTGGGTAGTCAGGAGGAAGTATTGAATTATCTATAAGAAAGACACGTAAATAATTTCACAGAGTTTTGCAAAATACCAACATAATTCAGAATCTGGTTGAAACAATTGTTTAACTATTGGATTTAATTTATGTATGAAACTGATAAACGGTATTAAAATGAACGTTCAAAATTGAGTAAATGGCAGTGATTGGTAACTTCATTTGGGTATACTTTTATCACTGATAAAATATTCAAGAATCTTTTCAAACTGAGTTAAACTCCGAGTTTATATAATATATGGTGCACATATTCTAATTATACCAGATATGGATATGCTCATAATTTTAAAAATCAATGTAAATTCCGTTGACGAGGAAGAAACTTTGGTTTACATTTATGGTTATATTTGCAAATGCACAGTTACATTTCTGTTGTTGTGCATATATTTTCCCTGATGATTATAAACTGAACTCAAAATGCACTTGGTATTGCCTTGCTTGTATCTGCCCATCGAGGTTTAAGACTGCAATTGATCAGTCTGTTGTCAACTTTGAGATGCAGGTACATCCAACTGACGAGTCCCAGATAGGGCGAAACGCGCATCCTGGATTCCACTGCTAGCCACTATCCATCTTTGCTTATGAACTCAAAATGATTTAGAAATTAAATATGAATACTTTCTAAAATCCGAGTACCTATGACCACTAAAACAACAACTATTTTTAAGACATCATATTACAACGAATTACAGGGAAATTCGGGATCAACAGAATCAGAACACTTCAATTTAACTTATTTAGTCGTATTCATGAACCTCAATCTATTATGGATTTCTTATACGTACTGGCTTTATAAAAAGTAAATGAAATTATTGTGAGAATAAACTGCATTTTGAATTCTTATCAACCTCAAGTTTTCAGTTCATTTGTTCAATATACACTTGATAAATTCTACCTCTTAAACATGTTCCAGTCATTTTATGCAAAAAAAAGACTAAGGTGACCTGTTTACTACGTGATAATAGGAGGAAAGTGGATAACTCCTGGATATTCACTCAAACGTTTTACTTTCATACTTATTTAGTTAAAATCAACAATGAAAGTGTTTATTGCTTAAAACATGCTTAAAACATGAATATATTAGCTGGTAACACAGTAAGTAATACTTCTTATGATCTAGCTGTACAAAGAGCAGGGAATTCACTAATGAAATAGTCATTTAACACTCAGAGAGAGAAGTCAAACACACCAATAATGACAGCATGTATCCATTTTTACTTTCTATTTTGATAGTTGATAATTTGACATTGATATATCATCTTATCTGTCAACTTTGTCAATCGTCTTGAGTGTGTTAATTTTGAAAACTGGTATCAAACTGATGTGGAAAGATGGGTGGATGACTAAATACACATTTTAAATATGGGTTTATGATAATTGAATTGCAAAACACCTATCTTTAAGTTTCACTTTTAAAGTATACTGTATTCTATTAATTTCTATCAGAGATTATATAACTGAGGAAATAATTTATAAGGCAACAGTCATATTTGATATCAGTTAACAGAGCTTTTCAAAACGGGCTACTTTAATAAAGTTTGGAACTGTTTATTGTTTGTGAAACTTAGTATTATAATATTGATGTCCATCCCTATGACTCATTTCACCACAAGCTTAGATGAGAAACTGTGTACTTTGCCCGTCCATTGCACCAGTGTGTTGATTTGAGTGATATTTAGTCCACTGGCTCAAGAACGTGAAGTCAAGCCTCAGTTTCCAAGGTTATGATTGTCAACTGGTATTTAGCAATACATTGGAAAAAATATATTCAATTATGAGGTGCATGGATAAACCTTGGGTTTTCCTTATTAACCCTATGTTGACCTGCAAAATAACACACCATGTCTTCTTAATTTTGTCTTTGCAATGCACTTAATTTTATGTAAGTAGCATTTTCACACCCAAACACTCAATAAACGGAATTGATTCGAACTGTCACAAGTGGTAAGAAATCACTGTTCGGCAAAAAAGAAATTTGTTGTTTGTTGTGGTAGTCAATTACTAAATGGTAGTTAGCGTAGTACACGACCATTTCGGGTTTAGTCAAATAGTCTGATGTTGATACTAACTGAAGTGAAATGAGGAAAACTAACTGTCATTAGTTGTCCGTTACATCCATTAGTCGAAATGTGTTACTGATCTCTTATAAAATATGATTTTTATGAGAATACCGATACAAATAGTAACATAATTACTAATGAATAACAAATATTTTCTAACTTTTTTTAATTAGAAATAGTAGATGTAGACAAAATATGTATGATCTGGAACATCAAAATAGACCATTGAAAGTGTATTAACGCATAAAAAGAACAAGACAATGTAGTCTCATGAAATAATCTCACCAGTGTAAATCTGTTTCATTCTGCACTCCTTGCTTGTAGATGATAAGTGAAACAGAGAGAATTTTGTAACTGTCTATCGTAGATATAACAATCTTTTAGACATAGACTATCCTTTTATATACTGTGTATAATGAAAATTAATTAACAAGATTATTACTGACCACTTTACTAATTATTATAGTATTCTATTTTTGGTGACTACTAAGGTCAAATAATAAAGTTTTCTATAAAGAATGTTAGAAAAATATGTTGTTTACTTTATAACTGTACCATGTATAGATTGGTCGACAAGTCTTGAAAAAATATTAATCAATTCAATCAGATGCACATCATTCCACACAGATGTGAAGTAGTAATTTCATAATTTATCTTAGGCAAAAGGTGTTCCTGTCACACTGTTAAAGTATTGCAATTTGTTTGCTATTCATTCTCATAATACTTCTGTTGTTGCTGTTGTCATCGTCTAATCCTACTTTGTATAAATGTTTGTGATGTTATAGATCGCAAGTGTCCAGTTAGCAATCATTACAATGAAAAATGGTAAGGAAAAATTTGGAACTGTTTCCTTTTGTATACATAAGTCGGGCACTAGTAGTTTGATGGCTATAGTTTGGGCAAATTTGTGAGGAATGGAATTTGACTATTGATTGATGATGGTGAAAGATATCAGCTTATCACCTTGATACCCTGTGTCACAGAGATGTACCTCAACAGCACTTCTCAAAGCATTTAATCCCACTAACCCAAGACATTATAGCAAGTCTCCTACACTCGATTATGTTTAAATTTTGCTAGGACATTGTATTAACTTATTTAACAGACAATGTTATCCGAACAGTAACGATTCTCAAATTTCTTTGTGCTATTATGATTATATGTGACAACCTACGCACATATCTCTCTCTAACTAAAATGTTAATATCTTAAATGTCTCTCGATGAGTCATTCTCTTTCACATGTATATATGTACTCGAATCTTATTATTAGCCTTTACCTAGCCTAGCTGCGCCTTGATTGGATTTGACTATAAATTTGCCTCTGTATTCGCTCGCATACACATATTCGCCTCTCTGCTTCAAGTTCTCTCGATTTACTTGTAGCTTTTTTTATCCGTGCTGTTCGCTAATAAACTATAGTCGCTGGTTCTTATTGTCTTATGATTTCAAACACCGTTGGAATTTACATAACGGTTATCAAGGTGATTGATTAACGAAGCTAAGCCACTACAGCTTTACGAGATATGTTGGTGGAATCAAAAGTTTATCCTTCTTTCTGTTCTGCTAATCTACCTACTTTGGCATCTCTCACAAATTATCACGGTTATCATTACCTCATATCAGTAACTACTTATCTCGCTTATTACCATCTCCGTTCCACATATTATTCTTCCAATTCTTACACATTACCAATCAATTAACTTGTTTTTAATTCTTAGAGTAACTGTCTTCTCTTAGCACTAAAATTATCGCTTTATAACTTTCACAATACAAACAATCAATTTTCAGACTGTTAATGATAGGTGCTGGTATCCAGGACCCCAACTGTCCTGAGAAGAACGCACTCACTTAGACTGTAAAATAAGCAAAACCACAAATAACTATCAAACTGACTAAAATTAGTACAGTGGTGATTAAACTGCTGCTTGTTGTACATTACCATATACCTGGAACCGTCCCGAAACAACAAGAAATGAGCACAGAGAAATTAATCGGCTTATGCAAATTCGTGACAAAGATATTGGATGTATTCAAAACTAAAACAAACTATAAGAACGTCAAGTTTCACGGTGAATAACGACAAGTGTGTTTACATCTCGATCTAATCGTGAAATCGTGGTTGAACACTGTTGAGGAATCCCATAATAGGACGAGAAAACCAGTCGATACAACCTGGTTTTCAGTGCCGGTCCATCTAAGATTAGTTTGGAATTTTAATTATGATAATGTAATTATGTTGAATATATAATGACTTGAATTGCCTACGCTAATGAAGCGCTGTAAATATAATGTTTGGCAATATTTGAAATAACGCTTTTCTAATTAGATTAAGAAAACAAACATAGTAAATTTATGATGAAGGTCGCTTAAGACATAGAAACATTGTATTAAACACAATACATCGGTCATTTAATTCACAGGAATGCAAATTAATAAGGCGTGAACTCATTAGTCGAATAATGATTTGGAAAATTGTAAAATAAAAGTAATGCAGACTTAAAGTTACCACATAAGTTCACTCCTCATTAATTTGCATTCCTGTCAATTAAATGTTAGATGTATTGTGTTTAATACAATGTTTCTATGTCTTAAGCGACCTTCATCATAAATTTACTATGTCTGTTTTCTTAATCTAATTAGAAAAGCGTTATTTCAAATATTGCCAAACATTATATTTACAGCGCTTCATTAGCGTAGGCAATTCAAGTCATTATATATTCAACATAATTACATTATCATAATTAAAATTCCAAACTAATCTTAGATGGACCGGCACTGAAAACCAGGTTGTATCGGCTGGTTTTCTCGTCCTATTATGGGATTCCTCAACAGTGTTCAACCACGATTTCTATACGGTGATCTTGTATAATGATATGTTTTTTACTCTAGTCAAAAATCCACAGGTCCCCCTTTCATGATTTGACCAACTGAGTACAGAGATTTGCATGAACCTGCCAAAGTAGGTGCATTGGTGGAACAGAAAGAAGAGCCTACTTTCGATTCCATAAACATATAGCATAAAGTCTCAGGTCAACTATTATAGCATAATTACATGTTGTATTTTTCATCATTGATGGGTTTTACTATTAACTATGTGCTCTCTACCTTCTTTTCCAGATTGAATGATATATTGTCTCAAATACATATATTAAGCAATGTTCTTGAGCGTATATTTACTGACATTAACTAATAAACTTGGGATGCCTTTGACTTAAAGTCAAAATATAGGAATTAATTTTTTAAAGGAATAGAATCGTATTAAGCTATGATGTTGTATATTTTTATACTAGTATATCCATTGATAAATGCCTTGATTTTACTAATGGTTTTCTAGAGAATGATCATACCTTATCTGGCAGATCTCCTTTAAGCATCAGTTTATTAGTGAAATCCCCAAATCTATGCTTAGATCCAACTTTATCTACCTTCAACGGGACGTTTTACAAACCATGAATTTGGCTCAGATATGTGGATGTGCTTTTGTCGTCATGAGAGAATCTGTTACGAACTTTTCCTAAACTGGTCAAGACACTCTCATTCTAAATTAAATTTACTCTCAAGGATGAAATTGATCATGGTGAGCTATCACTTTTAGATTACTTTGCTAAAAGAAATTTAAGTGGATCTCTTAATATAAACATCTACCGAAAACCAACACATTTGAACCGTTGTATTGGTTTTAATTCAGCACATCTGTTCGTTGAGAAAATCTATGTAGACCCAAATTTCTTTAAAAGAACAAATAAGGCTATTGCATCCAGAGAGGATAAACAGAAAGAACAAAAGCACATAATTAACATCTGATAATTTAATAATTTTCCAACGAATATTATTCAAAATGTTATAAAATTTAACGATTTACTCTTAAGTTGTGGCAGTTTAGTCTCAGTAACCAAACGTTATATGAGGCATGAAATATCAAAATGATACAAAAAGGCTTCTTAAACTACAAAGAGAGGCGAGTATATATATCATTTATTGTAGCAGGAAGATACACGACATCTTATTTGATAAATCAAATATGATGACTATCGAGTTATCCAAAGAAATATTCTTCTGATGCAAATTAGTTTACCTATTTCGTCGTTCACTTGATTCAGTTCAGTCACATACGAAACGTTTACGCCGGTCATTTTTAACCTATTTAAATTCAGTAAGTTAGAGATTGTTGCTGAACCGGATGAAGGATGCAGTAGACGCTCAACTTCGAGATCAACAAGCTGGATTCCGTAAGGATCGGTCGTGCACAGACCAAATTGCAACACTACGGATCATCGTCGAACAATCAGTTGAGTGGAACTCGTCACTGTACATCAACTTCATTGATTATGAAAAGGCATTCGACAGTGTAGATAGGAGGACATTATGGAAATTTCGTCGACACTATGGTGTGAGTATCTGAAAAGATCGTCAACATCATACGGAACTCATACGACAGACTACAGCGCAAAGTCGTGGATGGAGGACAGCTGACAGATGCATTCCAAGTAAGGACCGGAGTCAGACAAGACTGTCTACTCTTATCATTCCTTTCTTCTGATGGTCGACTGGATTATGAAGACCTCAACATCTGAAGGAAAACACGGAATACAATGGACAGCTCAGAACCAATTAGACGATTCGGACTTCGCAGATGACCTAGCCCTCCTATCACGTACACACGAACAGATGCAGATGAAGACAGCCAGTGTAACAGCAGTCTCTGCATCAGTAGGCCTCAGCATACACAAAGGGAAAACTAAGGTCCTCAAATTCAAAGCGGAGAACAGCAATCCAATCACACTTGATGGCGAAACTCTGGAAGATGTAGAGTCCTTCACATACCTGGGAAGCATCATCGATGAACAAGGAGGATCCGATGCAGACGTAAAGGCGAGGATCGGCAAAGCAAGGGTCGCATTCCTACAATTGAAGAACATATGGAACTCAAAACAACTTTCAACCAATATCAAAGTGAGAATCTTCAATACGAACGTCAAGGCAGTTCTACTGTATGGAGCTGAAACTTGGAGAACTACAACAACCACAATCAAGAAAGTACAATTATTTATAAATAGCTGTCTACGCAAGATACTCAACATCCATTGGCCGGATACCATCAGCAATAGCCTTCTGTGGAAGAGAATAAACCAACTTCCAGCTGAAGAAGAAATCAGGAAAAGACGATGGAAATGGATAGGACATGCATTACGCAAATCGTCAAACTGCATCACGAGGCAAGCCCTAACTTGGAATCCTGAGGGGAAGCGAAAAAGAGGAAGGCCAAAGAACACATTGCGTCGGATAATAGAAGCAGATATGA